CTCAAATTTGGATGCTACGTAGCTTCCGAGTGCTGGTAAAAACTGTTGTCACAAAAAAAATTACATCCTTTTAGGGCTCAAGCTACCAGTTGTAAAATTTTTATTAAGAACAAGTTGGCTTATGCTACAGTTGCCTTTGTCTTCTTTGGACTCGATGAGGCGAAAAGAGAGAGATTTATTGCACCGTAGGTAAAACCTGCACTATGGAATTCACTACCCACATCTGTGTTCTGTGTCCCAATAACTATAATTTGAAGCTATTCAAGCTCTATTTTACCCTTAGTTTAGTAACAGTAAAGCTTCTTGTGAAAGAGGTCATCCAGGGAAGTACTGCCACCTTACCTAATTCTGCCGCCAAGCAAGAATGTAATCATAACTGCGTTTCGGTTTGGTAGAGTAAGGGTGTTGGTGAAATTACAGGTACATGGGACTTGTCAACTTACGTCTCTGGGTGACGGGCACAGTGGCTGTGCCCCTATGGTCTTTACGATTTAAAGCTCTGAGTGGCACTGCCACTGTTATGGATAAGAGTGTCGCTTACCACTAGACGCATTATTTGTTAGTTCCGTCACTTGGTATTGTAAAGAAAAAGCCGAGAATGATCAGAAATTTTTTAGACAAAGGCGTACGTAGAGAACGTTTAGCATCGTATGACAAAGGCGTACGCCGGTCACATTGTCGCTTAGCCAAAGAACGCTTAGCATCGGATGAGATTACTGGTACATTTAAATAAAATTTTTTACGAAAATTAGATATCAGGGAAACTCCTACCTTCTAACTAAAAGATTACCCATACATAGTACGTAATTTCATAAATCGTTGATATTACACACGTCGTCTAATCGTAGTAAGATAATGTCATAGAAATAATTGTTTACACCTATCAAAACTTAAACGCCTATGAGAGACGTATGAATTAATGTCGAGTATTTTTCGAAAACGATAAAATTTTACCTAAATCGGTTTCCTACCGTACCGAACACGCAACGCGTAATCCGTTCAACGACTAAAAATGTTTTGTGCTTGGATAATATATAGAGGAGTTTCTTTGAAGGGAATGGTATTTTTGTTTTTTTTTTAATTTAACTTAGAAATGAATGATGAAGGCAGTCATATGCTGCCCCAGTCATTCGAACCTTTGACCTCTCAATTGAAAAGCGACCGTTCTTCGACTGGGCTACCACGGCAATACTCATAAGAGCGATGCCACACGGTTCGTTGCGTCGCGGCGGCGTTGCGTCGCCTGAGTGATGGCACTGTGTTGTACTACCTATGAATTAGAACACTTCATTTGACGTTTGTCACAGGGACGAGTAAAATCGATTGATTTTTAGTGCATTTGATTTTTGGAACTGAAAATTTCTCTTATAGTTTTATTTTTCTGATGTATTTTGGATATTGAAGGCAAAAAACGCCCAACTATAATTCTAATGCAATTTTAATAGAGATTTATCATTAATTTATAGGTTTCAAAAAGTAATAATATTGACATGTCAGTTCATCACCTATGATTAAAATTCATACTTTAAGAATGAATATATGCACCATAGATACTTTGTTCATTAAATTATCGAAAACTTTTTATCGATATACTTCATCTCTAGCAAATGCAGTGTAATGAAGTAACCTTCACACGATGTCGTTCGTCCTGTCGCTAGGTATTATAAAAGAAAAAAAATTGTATACATGCCATACGGTGCGCTGAAATGGCGTGCGGTACTCTCGACCTCCGTCCGACATCAGTCCGTAACAATTACTGACAAATAAGCAATACTTGCTAAATGAAAAAACGCGTGATGCGAATGAAGCTTCATACTGGACACTTGTCTTTTAATTTTGTCGAATATTACTTATTTCACAGTAATTGTTTCGGACGGATGTCGGACGGAGATCGAGAGTAGACCCCCAGGAGACGATGCGTAAGTTAGCGGCATTATGTTGCGAAACCACATTGCCCATGTGGCAATCGGTGCGTTAAAATCATAGCGATGCGATGACGCAACGCACCGGCAGCGCCCGTGTGGCATCGCTCTTAAACGGCCATATTAATATTACTTCAAAGCTTTGCTATGCCTATATATTTTATTTGAAAATAATGTAACGTGCGAATATAGTTTATTTATTCTAGAACAATATTGCCTCTAAAAATAACATTTAAAGGCACAATTGAACAAAGTAAAGTGTTTTGTGCCAGATTACATTGTACGCTTGTGTGGGCAGACCAAATGACATCGTTACATGCGGAATTTACCAACCCCTTTATGAATATATTACCGGAGATCAGAAACATTCTACGTTGTTGGTCTTTTAATTATTAATTATTATGAATAGATCTTTCCATCGCGTCGAAAAAGCTGAACAAAATATTTTGTTTCAACAAAATACAGCGTATAGAGGGTTTTTGTTCTCACCGCTTGTTTCGTGATAAAAAAATAACGTCATGTAATATAATTCTAAATGAAAATTAACATCTCATGACATCACATTATTTGTAGATTATTGAACTTATAAATTATTATATATTTTGAACTTATTATAATAAAATTTTAATTAATAGCAGGATATTCGCCGCTGTTACTTCGAGTTTAATGTAATTTAACAACATTGATCTATTTTCACTTGGTATAATGATATTTGATACTATTTCAAATTTTATAATCACTCATAGGATATAATTAATAACTGGTATGACAACAAAAGGTTGAAAATAATAAAAGCCATAACGTGTCAACCAAATGATCATAGTGAAACTGGCACCTAAAGATGTTTTCGTTTAGGAAATGAAACTATTTTTCCATAAATCGCGTATATTTGTTTTTTCAAACGTACACACTCATAGCCCCGTACCAGAGAAACCCTGTATCGCGGATACCATGGACACACATAGACAACCACAAATTACACCCAAAATCACGCGAGGAACAAATGTAAACCATACAAATACTTCTACCGGCCCGGGAATCGAACCCGGAACCTCTGCATGTTAGTAACCGTCTCGCGCTGTGCAACGCAAGTGCACCGCGCATTTCCGTACACATTGCACAGCGGGCGTGCTCGTGCTTACACGGCCCGTGGTTGCACAGGACACGTCGCGCGAGCTCGCGCCAACAAGTAGTGGGAAGAGTACCCGCCCGTGCCAGCACGGGCTCACAATGAAAGAGCCTTTGGCGCGAACTCGCGCGTACAAATCGCGCGGCATGGCCAGTGATATCACAGAGCATAGCCGCCTATACAAGTCGCACTGCTACGTTTATATGGACGTACCAAAGTTGTCTTATATACAATGCCTAAACGAAGTTGTTTAGATCAGCTAAGGGGAAAAGTTAATGTCATATCTTGTTAGGAACTTAAACTTAGTAAACATAGACAGTTAGCGATTACTTCTCAACTGTTATTTTGTTGTCACTGTTTCCTCTACGTTTTGTTAGAGTCTTGTTATCTAAGGTGAGAGACCTGGCATCCTATATTATAAGCTTACGCTTAGTTTAGGTTTCAGTCTCTTATAAGCATAATGTAGAACGAAAAAAAAAATTATTACATGCTTCTAATTTTGTGCACGTATAACAGTTATGTTTGTGGAGAAAATAAACGTATATTATTATATAAACGTATATATTACTTCGCGACAAAAGCTAAGAAGAAGCATTGAAGTTATTGCCTGGGTGTGATCAAAGCCTAATTTCGTTGCAACAAATTCTCAATTAGGATGTGAACCTATCGCTTAGGTTCACGTATATAAATATGAAGTCTTAAAACCGCTTTGTCATCTTCTTATTAAGAAAGCGTCTTTATTCTTTTATTTTTTACTACACAGCAATATCAGTAAAAACTTTGACATCACAATGAAACTTCATAACCGGTCTCTGGAATACTACGACTAATGAAAACTCTACAACTTTCATTTCTCTAGTTTTCCTTTCGATATCGTTCAAAATTTAAGCGTCGCAATTAAATGCAATACAATATAGTCTATCTTTTTGTAATTAACAAACGTAAAAAATTATTCAACATTAATGAAAGTACCCACCGTAAAGTAACCAAAAGGACACTGTTGATAAATCGAGAGGCCTGATGATGCAATCCCTCTAGAGGCATGTTCTTCTTCTTGTCGAGTCAATAACAAAATCGTGAGCATTACTGCGATCTGGTTTTGAAGGGTATAGGTGCTGGTAAAATAACAAGTGCTTGTTGACTTGTCTCTGGGTGACGGGCGCAGGGGCAGTGCCCCTCAAATATTTGTGATTTAAAGCTCTAAACGGCACTGCAAATGTTTTAGACACGCGCGACGCTTACCACCATCATAAAAAAATGAACAATTTTTCCCACCAATATAGATATTAAAACTTTCCTTGTTAGTCGCTAAATGATTAATCACTAATAACGCCGCTAATTACCAATAATAATTATTAATTGGCCGCTAGCCAGTCAACCCATGACCATGGAGCGTGTAATCGAAATATCGGGAAAGTAAAAAGAAACCATACTGTAAGAGACCCAGAAGAAACTTGTCAGTATCATTTTCTCTACCTTCACCAACTTTCTCAAATATCAAATAGAAATTTATTTGTTTCAGACAAAATTACTGTCCATTTGTGTAATTTTTGAAGTCCCACCAGGATCTAGAACGAAAAGAAAAATACAATCCCCAAATTAATTGACAGGGCGTTAATTGTCTTCTGCGGACAGTTGATCCACAAATTACACATATAAATGGTTTGGCAGAATGCTTTGAAAAGTATCTCTTTAACAAATACTGTACACCGTACAAATCTGCGTGTCAAATATCAAACGTATCTTTTTCAAAAATACAACTTTGTGTGTAAATATTTTAATTACGAAAAGACTATGAAAACCTCTTGTAAGGAATCGTAATGCCTCTTAACACGCAATAACCGGAATAAGAACTGAAATCACCATCGGCACAAAGTCCCGAAACGTGAAAAATCCTTTTAATTAAACTCAATTACGAAAGGTGACTGAAATAAACCTTTCTTTTACAGACTCAAAAACAAGGCGAAATTGGAATCGGACGAGAATCGCCGCACAAAACGGGACGACATCGGTAAGTTGGTTTTATGAAATGCCTTTTTCACAAATTACTTTTTTAAATTTTACATTTGCACTGTATTAAGGGCGCGATGCAATTAGCCTTCATTTTGTCTTTGACAGTATGTATAGTGTTGGCGAATTACATGTGTGTGTGTTGGGAATACCTTTGTGTGAGAAGTGTTTACTGAAAATACTGAAGTAGGTATGTCAGTATTTTCAGTACTATTTAATACTAAATACTTTGGACGACAGTCGCCTAACGGTTAACACTAATGGCGCTGGATGCGGAGAGTCTGGGTTCGACTCCCGGTAAAATAAATTTAGAAATTAAATTTTCTAAACTGGTTCTGTTCTAGGTGTACTGGGAAGTGCCCCAGAGTGAATTCCATTGCTATAATACTTACCGTATATGGAATTCTCTGGTTTCAGACAAGTATTGTAATATTATAATCGCTTAAATAAGTATATTTTTACAATATTTCATTTTAAACCGGATTGACTGAAAAGAAATTTTAAAACTAGAAAGTATAGACACGAAATTCTTATTTGGATAATAATTATGCACGACAGCACTTTCTTTCTTGTACTATTTTTATTATATTGTCCATGTTTCTTTTTCTTTATTGTTTATTCAAATATTGCAGTTCGCTGTTAAAAAAAGTCCTTAGCAAGAATGTGTAGTCTTTTTTCTCCAGAAGACAAAAATATACAGTCCTCAGCAAGAATAATAATGATAAACTAAAAGTCAAGCTTCAGTTTTGATCCAAAAATAAATATTAATTTACTATTGGCACGAGTCTCTTTAACCGCAAGACTAATAATGTCCAAGTCAAACGAACCTTGATCCTATTTTGAACACAAACTGATCAAACTAATAAATTGAGAAACTAATATCTGAGGTCGACCCGTGTGTCACTTCCATTAAATCATATAGTTTTAGTAGCTGTAGAACCCTTGTGAAAGAGTTCATCCAGGGTAATACTGCAACCTTACCTATTTCTGCCGCCAAGCAGTAGTAATGTCAGCATTACTGTGCTCCGGTTTTGAAGGGTAAGGGTGCTGGTGAAATGGGGCTTGTCAACTTATGTCTCAGGGTGACGGGCGAGAGTGATAGTGTCCCTCACATCTTTGCAATTTAAAGCTCTGAATAGCACTGTAACTGTTATGAACAGGCGTGTCGCGCTTATCATCAAGCACACGACTTGTTCGTCCCGTCATTTGATGCTATAAAGAAAGTTTCAAAATAACACAGGCACTTGTGCACTTAAGGCAAAACATGCAAAAATAGACCAGCAAAGGACCAAGTTTGGCCTGAATTCCACGAAGGCTCCAACGTGATCAAGTGTCACAGTATTCAGAGGGCAACAAACGCACAATTTGTAATATATTTTAGGAATCTGAGGAGGTTATTTACGTAGGCGTAAATCATGTGATAACGGTATTGAATAATGTACCTTGCGGAAGCTCTGCCTGATACTTACTTTGATATTTTTGTTGTTTAAGCTTATTTGTACATCATTTTATGGAGCTATAGTTTCGGTCTACCAAAAACGCTTACGACTTGCGTGCAAAAACTACTATATAACAACGCATTCATGTTGTTGATTTAGGTATAATAACACCACTGCAGCATTGTAGGGCCCAAATTCTGGTAATTTTGTTGGAACCACTGGTCATTGTATTATGACCAGTGGTGTTATTCTCTATATAATTGTGGAGATATCCGGTAGAGATTATTTTTGCAATCATGATAATATTTGTTAATCTGTTAAAATCTAGCTGCTATGGCAGTTGAATCTCAATAGAATGTTCGTAGAATGGCACTGATGATACGTGAGGCGCACTATAAGTTTCCGGAATGAATAAGAAAAAAATACTATAAATGGTCAGAAATGAATTTATTGTTTCTCAAAATATTGTCCGTTCGCGTTATTGCACTTTTTCATACGAATTAACCAATTCTGAAAACATTGATGCTACTCCTCCGTGACAATCTCTGAAACATATTTTTCATACTCTTTGACAGCCTCTTCAGGTGGTGAAAATCGTTGACCGCGTAAGTGATTCTTAATTTTTGGAAATAAATAAAATTCGCAAGGTGCCAGCTCGGGACTGTACGCGGGATGGCTCATAAGATCAACGTTGTTCAACTTCAAAAATTAATTTATCTGTCTAACCGTGTGAGAACTGGCATTATCGTGGTGCAAGATGATACGGCGTTTACGGTTATTTTTACAGAGTTTGTCAATAACTTCCGACAAACAAACGGTCGTGTAACAATTACTATTCACGGTACAACGATTCTCCAAAGCAACAGTAGCCACGTGTCCAGTTTTAGTAAAAAAAAGAAGCAATCATCCGCTTGAGGTATTTTGCACGCGCGCCACTTTGATTGGATGCGGCTCATCTCGAAAGACCCATACGCTCGATTGCTGCTTTGTTTTGGGATCGTAACTATAAATCCATGTTTCGTCACCTGTTACTATGTCCTATACCAAATTTGACGCCCCTTCGTCGGATCTGATAAGCATGGCATTGCACCAAGTGACGCGAACCGTTTTTTGAGCCTCAGTCAAATTGTGTGGGATCCACCGAGAGCACAGCTTTTTCACACCCAAATGTTTGTATAGTATTGATTGTATTTGACTAATGCCTATGCCCAAAGATGCCCGAATTGCATGGTATGTCATATATTGCCTGTCTATTATGATCTTACGGCGCACAGCATATATGTTTTTGTTGTTCACAGCAGTGGACGGGCGACCATCACGAAATTCGTCACTGAGATTCACACGACCTGATTTTAATTCTGCAAACCAGATATAAATAGTCTCTTGCATGGTGCTTCATTGCCAAAAGCAGTTTGAAGCCGAGTGAAGCTCCGCTGAGCTGTTAAGTTACACTTAAAGTTATAGAAAATCATACTACGAAAATTATCACGAGTTAAATCCATGGTGATGTAGACAACCAATTTCTAAAACAACGCCACAATGTAAAAACAAGTGACAGTTAGATGAAACAAACTGTATTATACAGCCAAAGATTTTAATTTTCAAATGTCGTAATTACTTTTTAAATATTGTTTACATAAGTGACCAGTTCCGGAAACTTATAGTGCGCCCTATGTAGCATCTAGATAACACTCGTGAACCGGTTCGCTTGTCTTTTGTTATGACACCTAAATAATATAAGTACGTAAATAGTATAAGTAAGTCACCTAAATAAGATAAATGAATAAGTACTAATATAGCAGCTTAGCCTTACTAACAAATTTTGGATGAATGTATTATTGTTATGAGTAGAATATAACCGTCTGTATAACGAGGAGTCCTTAGAGAAAGTTTTCCAACTGATGCCACGGTCATGTTTCTACCATAGCACCTCCCGCAAGAAGTAGAGCCTATCCCCATATCCTTAATGTCTGACATTGTAAGACCACGCGAGCATAGTGTGCGTTGCTTACTCGAACACGTAAAATGGGGAATGGTGTCCGTCCTAAAGTATTTCCTCTGCTATGACATACTGTTCTTCAAAGGCTAGCAAAACAAAGGCGACTTCTCTGATGTTATGTTTTATGATACCGAGTGACGGGTTGAGCAAGTCGCTGATATAAGCGACACGCCTATCCATAACAGTTGCAATACCGCTTAAAGCTTCAAATCTCAAACATCTGAAGGGCACTACCACTACGTCCATCACCCAGAGACATAAGTTGACAAGTCCCATGTGCCTGTAATTTCAAAACCGGATCGCAGTAATGCCTACATTACTGCTTGGCAAGGGAAGTAGGTAAGATGATAGTACTTCTCTGGAGGAATTCTTTCACAAGGAGCTCAACTGCAACCAAAACCTGCAAGATATGGAATTCTGAAGTATTATTTCTTTTGGTGTTGTTCCAAAAGCGAGTCAACTGGACTCTCAAAGTCTGGCAAAGCATAAGCAGCTCCTCTGATGTTGCACATGTCCAGGGATGACGATAACCACCTCACATCAAGTTGCCTCGTCCGCTTCGCCTCCTACTTGACATTAAAACTAAATATAAAAATTTTCAATTCAAAACATTATTATACCACTCATCATCATCATTATCATATCAGCCGGAAGACGTCCACTGCTGAACATATGCCTCCCCTAAAGATTGCCAGAGTAGCGGTTCGGACGCGACGTGGATCCATCGGTTACCCGCCGCCCATACCAGATCATTCGTCCATCTAGTAGGGGACCGTCCCACCCTAGACCAAACCGTAGAAACTATACTAGAAATCATCAAATTGATTAACCACTACCATTGATGTAAAAGGCAAAATTTGTACTGCAATAAAATATGGTTGTTTGACAATGCAAACAGTAAACTATTCTGCAGTACATTATTACAGTAGACGGAAAGTCAGCGAAGCCTTGTACTATACGAGGACGGCAATTCCAATTCCCACTGAGGCATATATATTAAGTGCTTTTTACAAACAATGAGAGGAATGAATAAAATACTAAAGAAGGAAGAAGTATTTTTCTTTGCTCTTAGTCGGCAACAAGTTTTGCAAGGCTAATATTTTTCTTCTTAATTAGGTGGAGTATGTCGCTCTGGCTTTGCCCCCTTGTTACTAAAACAATTTTTGCATTTCGGTAATTTTCGAAATATAGGCTTTTTTGGAGTTTTTTTTTGCTTTTAAAATATGTAAAATATAAATAATGCTGGTCCGAGTACGTTACTTACGATGAAGAAGGCAGTCTGAATTCATTTTCGCAATTAATAATACAAATAGAACACTAATAAAAAACTTAGTATATTCTCCCGCGTTTTTCTTTTTTAAAAAGCAAATTGCATTGTCATATTTGAGCAGCATAATTAAAGACAAAAATAGTAATACCAGAGAAAATTATATTTCGCAATTACGGACTGATGCTAGTGAGCAATTGAATCTATGACTTCTATAGTCTGTTTATACAATTCATTGTTAGTTGATAAATTTAGAAGTTTAGAAAAGCGGATAGAAATTGATTTTCATCTTTACTTTCCTGGCGTAGGCCGATAAAGAGTTCAACAAAGAGTGCGTGTTCTTTTTTAGAAAATAGTGAAAATATTGAACACGTCATTTTCTTTTGAACAAAGAACAAAAAAATTTTGACAAAGACCAAAAAAAATGTTTTTTGTAGTTACACTTTTTGACACGAATTAATTTTTAGTTTATGTACAAACAACGGCACGTCAGACCAGACATTTTTGTTCGAAAATCGCCTACAGTGCAACGGAACAAGATACGTCAATGTGTAGCTTGACGTGCTGGCGTATGTACATTGCATTTTCGAATTCTTTGTTATTTATTACCTTTCTAAACTGATAGCTCTATAACTAATGCTTTATAAATAAATAACATGTACATGAACAAGTACAAAGAACATACATAGAGCCAAATTTTTTACACACTACAAAATTTAAAAAAAATCTTCCCGGCCTAATCCGCGAAACCCTTTTGATTATCTATTTGTTACCGTTGCTACGTTAAACTTTTAAATATATTACTATTAATGGGCCTGGAGATTGATAAACAATAATCTTTTTCTTTCACCTATTAACTTACCATATCACATGTATTTATTACATGTAACATATTCCTTTCAAAACTTACTTTTTCTTTTATATACAACTTTTCCTTTCTCAAATCTTTTATTATGTCCTCGCATTGTTTGAGAAAAGCATTATATACATATACGGTACGGGGATTGCCTGACTCGTATAATACACGCTCGGCGCTCGGCCTTGTATTTCACACATGTCCGGTCCGATCCGGTCGATACCTTACTTTCCGGTAATAATATACTATAATTGAAGACATTTACTTTCCAATGCGTATCTATCTACCAGTTCAGAAAGCTATGTTATGTTGGAAAGCTAACATTTATTTTTAGAATTTCAACTGTTTTCCTTTCAAATACTGCTCTTTTTGCGATAGCAACCAACCCTTTTAAGGCTCTACAATCAATTACCTAACACTCTGTACAATTGGCTTAATCCCGGGCTCAATTCCCGGTTGGATGAATTTGAAGGCGAACTTTTCTAAATTGGTTTTAGTTCCGGGCATTGCCTCGGAATTTACTACTTGATACACATATTACTCGAAATTCCCTAATTTAAGACTAAGCGACTGGTGTGGTGTCTGCAGGTTTCGTCATAAGAAAAACATCAAGAGAATCATTGTAAAACAAATTTAATAAGTAAATAAGGAATGCTTCTGCAGAAGCAAACAACCAATTGTACACATTATAGGATTCGTTTTGAAGATCATTTTTCTTTGGGGATAAATCTACTCAGGTTGTTGTATTCTTTTGGTATTTTTTTTATATAAATAAATTGGTAGACAAAATTAAGAATTGTTTTCTTCAAATCAGAACCTTTGCATACATAATTTATAAGGAAACAAGTGAACGCCCCATATTTATAATTTGCTAAATTAATTTTTATTTTTGTCATCGTATTCGAAAAGAATTTAAAAACGAGAAAAATTTCTTTCTAATATTTTTTATTAATTGTACAATATTACGATTGCAAATATAATGTCAATGTGTAATGACTTCATTATGGAATAATTTTGAAAGTATTAAACAATTTAAATTAAATTAAACTGTTAATAACTTTGAATTTCAGTAGCAATAGACTTCTTTGTGAAAGAGTTTGTCCAGGAAAGTACTGCCACCTATTTCTGCTGCCAAGCAGTAATGTCAGCATTACTGTGTTCCGATTTTGAAGGGTAAGGGTCCTGGTGAAATTACAGGCACATCGGACTTTTCAAAAGAAGATCTGAGGGGCACTGTCACTACGCCCATCACCGCGACTTGTCAACTTATGTCTAAGGTCTAAGTTGACAAGTCGCATGTGTCTGTAATTTCACTAGCACTCTTACTTTTCAAAACCGGAACGCAGTAATGCTCACAATACGGCTTGGCGGCAGAAATAGGTAAGATGGCAGGCAATACTTCCCTGGACGAACTCTTTCACAAGGAGCTCTACGGCTACTATAATTTTATTCGTATTTTTTTATTGTAACCTATAGTGTGTTTAGGACTCTATTTACGCAATACCCTCACGCCCAGAGCGCTTACAGCCTCATTCTTACAGCATTTTTCTTTCACAGAGACTGCGGAGCTGCCCCCGCCGCGGGCCGCCGTTGAGAAGCCCTTTTTATTATCCGATGGCAGGTGAGAACCGTTTTATAATTGGTCCACCCTTTGTCTTCCCTTTGTGTCTCGATGAATATCGTCTCAATGGATTTTCGGGTACGGAAAATCGGTCGGTAGCGATAAAAGCGAAAGGACCTTGTGATGGGCGTATTGTGACCGAGTGGCGAAAGGCAGATTTTGAATTGGAGAAAGCAAAATATACCTACTCAAAATTCTCTTTTTGACATGTTTGTCATTATTAACGTTAGACACATCAGGTAGCGTTATTTTAATAAGATTTATGCTCAGGCCACACAGAGGCGGCCGCGGAAGCGTTCCGCGCCCGGGCTAACGTTTCAGTGTGGCAGGGTTCATATGAGCTAGTACATTACAAAAATTCCCGCGCCCAGAACGCTACCGCGGCCGCCTCTGTGTGACCAGAGCATCACAATATTTCAAGTTCTCAAACTTTTTGTCTCCTATGGTATACCTACTATTATTTCGTATGAGTTTTATAATAGGGATTTTTTTACAAATTCGTCAACTTCAGATATAGTTTTGACAACTGTACACAGTTCGATAAATTTAATGTGGTGAGAACTTTAAAAAACATACATATTAATTTAACCGAATATCTTGTTTGTTGTGAAACATTTACTTTATAGGCATTGACCTATTTAAAGGTGATATGTGTCTATTATAAAAAAGTATTACATATCTATGTACAAACGTAGGTACTATCTGATAATTTGGATTATTCCATTCTTCTTCTTATCTTGTCGCTGGAATAGTATACCTAATGCTTGCCACCGTGGTGAAAGGATTGTCGTATGGGAAGCACCCAGGGGTGTACTAAAGGGTGCACCCTGTCGAAATGATTCCATTTATGGAAAGCCATAATTTTGGTCACGGCCTACCTAAATAGGTCCCACTCCATTTGACTCCTCGTAGGTTGTAGTTGAACCCTGGGGGTCGATATAATAGACCACTTTGGAAATCATCTTTTTTTATTTATGTCGATTATTATAATAACTTGGCATGAAAAATATAATGCCTCTCTATCATCTATTGAGGTTTTTTTTATTTTAGGTAACATCTACATGATCCTAAGTAATAAACGTTTGAAAGTTTATTTTACTGATATTTATTTATTTTAACTAATTTGGGTAATTTTCAGGTTCCTTTGTGTCTAATTTCGGTGGATATCTTTATTATTTTAGTATTCGAGTATGTTATCATGAAATATTAACTAATATTTCAAGATACTACTCTCGAAAATTAAATAATAGTTCATGATAATATTCTAGAACGTTTAAATAATAAAATTGCTATCGAAATCAGGTAAAGAAAACTAATCTGAAAATCACCCATTTGACTTTATTCTAATAATCTCGGCAGCGCTTAATATCACATGCAATCTCTTCAGTAAACAACGTTTAGCACTTGTTTACATATGTAAACTAAGGTACATCGAAGTTTGTAAACAAAGCACATTCTAGAGCTAGAATCAATCAAATTTGCATTTCATAAAATGTAAACAGTAAATACCTACCAGTGAAAGGTGCACCGAAGCGTACAGGACAATTGCAAATTCTTCACGGAAAACACTGACTTTAATCCAGTAAATAAATTATAAAAATGACAGTCGACTATTTTTTTTTTTAAATTAGACTTATAAAAAATAGAAGACTATCTATAAAATAACATTTATTCAGTATTTAGCCGTGGTGCAACAAGGCAACAACTGCCAAATGATAACTTTTCAGGAGAGTGTTTCAAAGATTCTAACTGCCTCAGTGTCCGACCTATTACCATGCCGGACAGCAACGCAGAGGTCCCAGGTTCGATTCCCAGGCCGGGAGAAATGTTTGTATGACCTATATTTATTTCTCTCATGAGTTTGGGTGTAATTTGTGGTTGTCTATGTGTGTGTCCATGGCACCCGCGGCTCAGGGTTTCCCTAGTGTGAGTATTATTGTTATTATAAAAATTCTACAAACGAAATTATTCGACAACTTTTTATGCTTAAATAAAAAAGTTATAAAATGTGTTGTCCTTATTATTTTTATGACTTTCATGTCATGAAA